TCCCTGTCCCCTGAGACCCTCTGGTTTCAGGTGTGCCTCCTGCTACCCTGCTGCCCAGCCAGCCCTCCCAGCTGCCCCTCAAACACAGAGTTTCCTCAGGTACACCAGTGAGCTGCTCTCATGGCTAAAAGCATGATGCCAGCTAAAGTGAAGCAAACATAATGTTCCTGAATGCCACCTGTCTACTGGGAGTTACACGTGCTTCGAAAGGCACACAGACTATACAAGCGAGTTGTAGAGCCATGCTGCCTTTCTTCCTTGCTTGTACAAAGTTAGGTTCTATCATATAAATGTACATTAGGAATTGAACTGCTAAAAACCAAGCAGAAATTGTGTTCCATTTTTGGTATGCATAATTTGCTGGGAAGACCCAGTTCAAAAGCCCATTCTCCATTCAGTGTTTTAGCACTGCTGAGCTTACGCTCAACCACACCTTCTTGCCAAAATATAGTTTTGCTTAACAAAAAGCTCCCTTGATTCTCCTCAATAATGAATTCCACCTAAAGCAATGTCTTCAAATATCAGACATGTGCCAGAATTTGCCAGCAAAACACAGAGATCAGCATGGGTTTGTATAACCATTGTATTTTCCATAAGGCAGCACCATTAAATCACAACCACATTATAATGTAAAATATTCCACATGTTCTTCAGCAACCTTCTGGAAGGAGAACTTTGTGTTTTTTGTAATTTAATATTCTCTTTCTCAGAAGCATAGTAAGAGCTGGGTTTTAATTACAATACACATAGTGTATCCCTACATGAATAAGCTTTTCTTAAAACTGACAAGGTACATTGTACATTTAAAATTTTTTTTTATTTTAATGCATATTTTCAAGTGTGTGTTTTTGGAAAATGTTCTCAGAAGAAACTTCAGTCCTTTTTCTACCACAAATTATGAAGACTAGTACAAATCATTTAAAAAATGTCTTTTACCTCATGTTTACACCCACAAAAAAACAACAGTGGAATGTGTCACTCCAGAAGCCATGACCTCAGTAATCTAGCAGAAAAAAAAAAAATTCCTTATGAAAGCAATTCACCCTTTGCCCTTCAGACTGTAATTAAGATTTAGAAAACATGCCTAATGATAGCCCTGCAAGCCTCTCTTTATCGCTCAGGGGAACAGACTTCAGTGGGACCAGGGACAGTGTGAGCTCTCAAGTTTTCCCTTGTTCTCAAGGTAGCACCTAAAAACGTCAGCACTTAATTTAGTGCCAGTGCTCAATCAGGGCTTTGTTATTTTTCTGAGACCAGAAGTGCCAGGTAGTACAAGCAGGTTAGTGTTTCTCGACGTAAACTCCCATGCTGAACCGAACTGAGACCACCTACGCGTTTCACAGAGACAACCCCTGAGATGGCAATTAACAGCATCCAGTAGATACCTCAAGTGAAGTTCTAGCAGGAATACATGTAAAATCACGTTACTACCAGCTTCCTAAATTTCCTGTAGTTGGTGCGACACTTCACAATTTCAGAATATGTGCATTTTTTAAGTTAAGATCATCATGATGTTCATCCCTACTTAAGCATACACAGTCACCTTATAGATTTAAATCACTTCCTCTTTTGTTTGCTTTTTAAATTCTCTGACCAATTTTTAGAACCTTTAAAAGATATTTTTAAGACATTTAATTCAGGTCAGGCAAGGTGCATCGATTGAAATTCCATAAATATGCAAGTTTTACCTGATGTTCAGATTGGTGGTGTTTTTTCAGAAATGTTTGATTAGCTGTAGTTTCAGTTTCTTCTTACAGCCATCCCGATAGGACAGGTTTATGTACCAAAACGTGGCACTATCATCAAAATAGCCTCCACCTAAGGAAATAAGCAAGCCGTCTGAGTAAGTGAAAAATGTTATTTTCAATATGACATTCTCAGATAATTATTGTTGATCTGTGTGTAGAAACAAGTGTGAAACACTTAATTAGTTTTCTTGATTCTGCAAGAACAGGGATCTTCACCTATTTTTACCAAACCAGGCTAATAGATTTGGGTTGTCCTAGAATTAGGCTGATGATAAATAAGATAAATAATTGGTACACACACATACTACAGCTTCTGTTTGGCAGCACGACGCCGAGGCAGATGTAAGCAGAGTCATGCTGACCTCTGATGCTTTGGCTTTCCTCATAGAAAACTGAAACATTTGGCAAAATTAACGTTTCTCCAAGAAAAATACCAATTCTGTGGAAAGTGCAAAATCTCAGTTAAAAAAAATAAAAAAACTTTTTGGCTGAAAATTGCTACCCAGTTCCAGGCATAAATGACAACCTTGTTTGAAGGTTCACGTGAAGTTGAGTGTCAAGAATTGTCCACTTCCTTGTGGACTTCCTTACACACTAAAAGCACAGTCCAGCATCATTTATCCTCTGTGGATTATACTGGTTTCCTCTCATTTCACTCTAAACCCTGAAGCCAATCTTCTTATCTTTTATATCGACAGCAGCCAACATACAAACACACTGGTTTCTGGCAAGAAATCATTACAAGTTGCTTAGGCAGATTTATTTATGACTAATACAACAACCTGAACATTTCTCTGGCAGAAAGCAGCAATGGGTTATTAGTCTGTCCAAACCCATCCAGAGTGTTACCCTGTAGTGATTTCATTCTCTACTTGGCATAGCTATTCTTTAAATACTTTTTTTTTTTGGGAGATGTTTAGCAACTATATCAAATAAATTCACCGATGATTCCTGAGGCATCATAGTTCAGATGAACAGGAGTATTTCTGCAGAAGAATGTGGGGTTTATGTGAGAACGTTAAGGAGCTTGTTTCCTGAAACAATACTTATTCTTTGCTAATTTGGAATGTAGAGATGGAGTCACAAATGTGTAACGCAACAGAACTGCCATAAACCTGAGTGACAGTTGAATAATCTGTGTGTCTCACCCAGTGTATCTAAACTCAGCTGCTGTTTGCCCTGCACAGACAGAAAGAATTTTGTGGCAGGACCGTAAACAGCCATATTAACACAATTAGTAATGTGCATGTTCAACATCTGTGAGGATCTGTGAGGAATATAAAACTGCAAATAACCTGGGACAAAGAGTGCCAAGTGCATTTGGGCTTTAGTGGGAAAAATTCAGGTGCTTGACAAAAATCAGCAATGCTGGTACACGTGGTGGTGCTGGTACATAATAACGGTGAATACGAGGCACAGAATGGAGCAAGGAGCTACGGGGCCTCCTCCAGTGCATTCGGGAGATGCATTTAGAATCACAGAATGGTTTGGGTTGGAAGAGACCTTTACAGGCCACCTAGTCCAACCTCCCTGCCGTGAGCAGGGACATCTTCAACTAGATCAGGCTGCTCAGAGCCCCTCCAATCTGACCCTGAAAGTTTCAAGGGTTTTCCTAAAAGTTCCTAAATTTTAACTTTGTGCAAGCAGCAGTGTGCTAGAAATTTCCTGCATCTTAGAGGGTTCATGGTTCACTTCTAATCCTGGATATAAGGACATAATAATTTTGCATTAATTAAAGCAACTATTAAAATGCCATTGTAATGTTTAGAAGCTCAAGAGTTATTAGAGAGCTAAGTAATCCTGGGTTAATGTATCTACTAACCTTTTCTAACACCTACTTTCAGTAGAAACATATAATCAGCCAAGTTTATCACTGTTATGAGGAGCTGAAGTACTGATAGACTTGATCTTAAAAGGAGTCATGGAATCATGGAATAACAGGTTGGAAGGGACCTCAAGGATCTTCTGGTCCAGCCTTTCTTGGCAAAAGCACGGTGTAGACAAGATGGCTCAGCACCCTGTCCAGCTGAATCATAAAAGTGTCCAATGCTGGGGAATCCACCACTTCCCTGGGGAGACTATTCCACTGGCTGATTGTTCTCATTGTGAAAAAGTTTTCCTCGGTCCAATCGGAATCTCACCAGGAGTAATTTGTACCCATTACCCCTCCTCTTTTCCATGTGACTCCTTGTAAAAAGGGAGTCTCCATCTCCTTTGTAGCCACCCTTTAAATACTGGGAGGCGGTGACAAGGTCTGCCCTAAATCTTCTTTTCTCCAGGCTGAGCGAACCCGAGTCCCTCAGCCTTTCCTCTCCTATGTCAGGCTTCCCCATCCTTGATCATCTTGGCGACCTTTCTCTGGACCTTTCCAGCCCGTCCATGTCTGTTTTGCACAGCGAGGACCAAAACTGCACACGCTATTCCAGGTGTGGCCTGATAAGCTCTACATGGAGTGGGACAGTGACTTGTCTCTGCTGGTGATGCCCTTGGTGGTGCCACCTCCTTCCCCAAAACCCCAAACTTCGGAGTGGTTTTAAAGTGCCGCCGCCCAGTTTTTGGAGGGATCACGCAGGAATTCCCTCACGACGGCCAGTTTTAGCAGTTTTGTTCCTTTAACTGCGAGGGCTGGGGCCGGGCTCCCCCAGAGCCACAGCGGACCCCAGCCCGGCCGGGGTGGGGGGCGGGCGGCGCTGCCGGTCCCCCGCAGCACCGGGGCGGCGGCGGTGGCCTCTTCCCGAGCCGAGCCGGCTGCGGGGGGCACGGGGGGGCTGGCAGCTCCTCGGG